GGTGGCGCGCTAGGCCAGACGCCACCACCACGGCGCGGCGTCTAGCCCAGACGCCACTACCACGGCGGCGGCGCCTAGGCCAGACGCCGTGACGGTGGCGGTGGCGTCTGGCCCAGGCGCCAGAACCACGGCACCGACGTCTGGCCTAGGCGCCGCCGCCGTGGTAGTGGCGTCTGGCTAGACGCCGCCGCCACCGTCACGGCGTCTGGCCTAGGCGCCGCCGCCTTTTTATTTTTTTTTATTTAATTTTTTTTTGGTTTTAAATTTGAAATTTAATTTTCGAAAATAATTATTTTTTTTTTGATTTTTTTTTAAATTTGTTTTTCTTTTTTTTAATTTTATGTTCTTGTTTATTGTTCTTGTTTTTTTTTTTTTGAATTAGTTTTTTTACTTAAAAAAAATTTTATGTTCCCTTTTTTTTGTTATAATTTTTTTTTAAAATTTTGATGTTCTTCTTTTTTTTTAAGTTTTTATAATTTTATATTTTTCACTTTGTTTTTTCCAATTTGTTTTTTTTGGGTAATTTTTTTTTTTGCTTTGTTTTTTCCAATTTTTTATTTATTTATTTATTAGGTTATTAATTTTTTTATTTTTAGGTTGTTAATATTTTGTAATGTTTTTAATTTATTTTCCATCATATGTATATTGTTTTATTTATTATTTTAATTACTTTTTTATGTTTATATTACATGTTTATATTGCATATTACATGTGTTGTTATTTTGTGTTAGGCATCGTATTTTTCGTTCTGGGGCTGGGAAGAGTATGGACATTATGAGAAGTACGATGAACTCAATGGAGAGCTCGGGGCCCAGACACGTTAGATCCCGTGGTATTTCGGCCTCGGCTCGTAGAGAACGGGTGCACTATTCTGAGGATGATGAAGATGATGATGGTGATGAGGAGGAGGAGGAGGAGGATGCAGATGAGGATGTGGACGATCAGAGTGGACCATATGATGATTACGGTCCATTCAGTCATAGGCTTGATGATGTGTATGAGACGCGTAGGGTAGACGTGCGTAAGGGTAGAGATGGTAGATTTGTTAGTAGATCTGGCACATCATCTGCGTCCACTGTGTCTGCGGTTAGCAGAAAACGGTCGAGGGCCGTTAATGATTCTTGGGTGGTGAGGGGCGAGGTGGCTGGGGGACCTATAGACGGGAGTGTGATTCCTAGCTTTCTAGGACACATCGCTACCCGTATTTGGGAGGACCAAGAGCGGGCTTTGGATAGCGGCATTTTGAAATGCCAAACCCGGGAGAGGACTTGTAACTTCTTGTGTAGTTGGCTGAGGCTTGGCCGGAGGAGAGCGAGATGGTCGGCCGATTGAGGGCCACTAGAGTGAGCCACCTTCCTGCCACCATGCATGAGAGGATTGACTCGACGCTGATCACGGCTTTCGTTGAGCGATGGCAGCCGGACACGAACTCTTTCCACCTTCCGTTCGGTGAGATGACGATCATGTTGCATGACGTCGAGGCCATCCTTGGATTCCCGTAGAGGGAAACCGAGCATCTGTTGTCACAGATGCGGATCAGGCAGATTTATTGGCGGAGCTGTTGGCGGTGGATAGGGCTGCGCTGTACACAGCGGCACTTGGTGTGTGGGATCACGGCGGTGTTAAGATCGCAGCAGTTTTGCAGCGATGTTTGCACCCCACTTCACGTAGGACGCAGGACACACAGCTGGCTGCATATGTTTTTCTTCTTCTCGGGTGTACCTTGTTTCCGGATAAGAGCGGAAACAAGCTCAGGCCACGCGACATAGTTGACGCGTGTGAGCCCGACAGAGTAGGCCAGTTTTCTTGGGGGTCGGCTACATTAGCGTACATGTATCGCCAGTTAGGATTCTCGAGCCGGGCTGATGCGGCAGGTATCACTGGATGTATGACGTTGTTACAGACGTGGATATACGAGTATTTCCCGGCGTTTCGACCACACCGCGACCCGGTTCCTATTGGGGATGGCCAGCCACGTGCCTGTGCGTGGAGTCCGCGTGTCGAGAAGAAGTCCATTGACCGCCTGCGATCGATACGGTTATTGCTTGACAGGATGTCCCCATTAGAGGTAAAGTGTTTAAATTATTTCTACTTTTATAGTTTGATGTGTTTATTGTACGAATCTTACTAATTTTAAAAAAATGTGCAGGTGAACTGGATGCCTTTCGGCCAGAACCCTAGTAATAGGGTACCCAGGACCCTCTACACGGGACTGATTCAGTATCGTGAGATCGTAGAGGCGTACATGCCGCAGCGCTGTCTTCGCCAGCTTGGATATGTCCAAGTTGTTCCTCCTCCACCAGCATGGCCCAGTAAGGCCGTCCGATCTGCGTCGTTGAAGGAGTACGTCGTCCAATGGCCGGCAAGCATGATTGGCACGTGGGAGCAGTTTCCGATGGTTGCCCGCATATGGATTGAGCAGTTGCAGCGGCCGCCAACTGGGGTGGCTGCCATGTGTGACCAGCACTACATGGAGTGGTACAACCGGCACTCGCACCCGAGGTTGATCAGAGACGTCCACCACGGCGACGACGCCGATGATGATGATGTGCCACCGCCCACTGCCGTGGATGCGGTACGTCTCATAAAACATTTGTAGTTGTGTTTTTTTTCATATAATATGTCTCATAATACGTCGTTATTGAATTTTATGTGTTTTGTTATGTGTAGTGGATGGGAAAGATGACGCAGTTGGGACACAGACTTTTTGAGGAGAGGGACAACATGACGACTGCAACAGGCAGAGCTGTTATTGATGAACTGGAACGGGCCCTTGAGCAGTGGCAGTGGGCGTCACAGAGAGATTATTGATATGTCGGCAGTGCATTTATAAAACATTTTCCTAGTTGTTTGTAAAAGTTAACATTATCTGTTCTTATAATTATTATTTTAAGTTCTTAGAATTTGACATTATATTTTTAGTTTTTATAACTTTTATTTTAAGTTGTAATTAGTGGGCATACGAAAACTAAATACAGGTTCACATTTAAATGGGAAAACTAAATACGAAAATTAGAATCCGAAAATTAAATAAATGGGAAAAACATAGCAATAGCAATATTAGGTCACATAGAAAAGGCAACTAGATTGTTCCACTGCTGCACCCGGTCATGATATAACGCATCCCAGCCCTCTACGCTTGCTGTACGAATGGTGTACCACGTTGGTATAATCGGTGGGACCGGAAAATCGGGTGACAGGTCCAGTCGGATGAAATGTCTGTATGACGGCCCCAGAAATCCAATAGCAACCTCTCTTACCGGTCTGGTGACGGTCTCACGCGAACACCAAGGCAGAACCGTGGTACACGGATAGTAAGCTCGACCATGCAAACCAAGGCCGAAATGCATCACTGCACACTTGTAGATGTTTGCCAATCTCTCTGCTGAATCTAAGTTCTTGTTGAAAAGGTTGTAGGCTTTGACTTTCACGCATTTGTTGATGTGCCATGTGCACAGTAAATGGCTCGACTCCGGAAACAGCTCCGCTATAGGGGCAAAGAGACCTCCCTCACAATCGCTGACGATGGCCGATGGCTGAACACTTGGGCCGATGTAATTTCTCAACTTCTCCAACACCCAACGGTAACTCGCAACCGTCTCATCCTTCATAACTGCATAACCAATCAAAAAGTTCTGGTTCGTTGGAGTCATCCCAACCATCTCAACCAGTGGAAACTTATACTTGTTTGTCTTGTACGTTGAATCGATCAGAATCACAGATGGCCAAGACGAAATCATATCAGCACAATCAGGATGCACAAGGAACAAATGAGTCACCTCCGATGTGTCTTCATCAGATTCAAACCAGTACAGGTAACCACGTGCTTGTGCCTGGTGTAGAAGCTGCTGTATAGGGTTCCTTCCCTCTGACCGTTCAAACCTCAATTTATGTCTGACGTTGTAGATGTGTCTTCGGTTTGGCTGGTCTTCAGGAAATTTCTCCAACACAGATGCTAATATTTTAGCAGGCTTCACTTGAGCATCACTCATTTCTTTTACAATTAGTTTCGCAGCAGGACTTAGGCCACTTAACTGTCGATGACCCACTTCATATGCGATCATCTCATGGTTGTGATACCCCCATTTACCGTAACTCTTCACTTCCCAACCGTCACCCCTTTGCTGTTGTCGAACCTTTACTCTGAACTGACACCCACAACCTTTCCGCTTTGTATCAAACCGAATCGCTTGACTGAAATCTCGTTCCTCCCTTTTGCGATAACGGTCGCATCTCAAAATGCGATCCATTCTACCATCCCGTTGAGATTTATGAGTTGCTACTACTAAACAAAAACCTGATCTAATTGCAACCTGTTTCGCCCAATCAACCGCTTGTTGAGCATCTTCGAACAGACCATCGTGTACAAAAATCCCACTATAATCATTTCCGTCTCCACCATAATCCTGCAACAATAACATATAAATATAATCACATAAGAGTAGATTAAATTAATACATTTGACACAACATTAGCACAAAAGCAAAAACAATAATAAATTATAAACAACAAACAAAGAAATAAACAAAAAGTATTCAAAAAAAAAAAAAAAAACAAAACACAAAAATAAAAAACATAAACAAAACTTTAGATTAAATAAATAAAAATAAACCAAAAAAAAAAAACAAAAAAAAAACATAAAACGAAAAAAATTGTAAAAAAAAAAAATAAAAAATAAATAAATTAAAAACAAAAACAAATTAAAACAATTAAAAACAAAACAAAAAAAAAAACAAAAAAAAAAAGAAAAAAATTGTAACACAAAAAAAAAAAAATAAACAAATTTTAAATTAAATTAAAAAAAAAAAAAAAAAAATAGTGGTGGCGCCTAGCCAGGACGCCGCCACCGTGGCGGTGGCGTCTAGCCAGGACGTCGCCACCGTGGCGGTGGCGCCTGGCCAGGACGCCGCCACCGTGGCGGCGGCTTCTTGGCCAGACGCCACGGCCACGGTGGCGGCGTCCTGGCCAGGCGCCAGAGTTACGGTGGCGGCGTCCTGGCTAGGCGCCACCACTACGGTCACGGCGTCCCGGCAGGACGCCAGCCGCCAATTCGTGGTTTTAGATGGCATCGTACCTCCTTTTCCGGCGTCAACGACGTCTCTCCGGTGCATCTACCCGACGTTGAGGGCTCTTCGGTTTCACTCGGCGATCCAGTCCTGCTCCACATTTTTTATGACTGAAAAATTTTATTTTCGGTAAAAATTAAAACAAGGGCAATAATGTCAACATTTTTAAAAAATGTGGGCTTTATGTAGAAAAACGCGGGCGATGTTTAACAAATCCCCTTTTTTTTAGTTTTTTCTCCATTGTCAAGTCAAATAGGTTGATCAAGTGAAATTCGAATCAATTAATCTATACTTTTTTGTGGTTCATAGTGTTTATAACCAATTACGTAGCATTAAAGTAAACATGTTCTAGTTATGTTTCGACAAAAGCAAATGTAAAACTCTCATGCAAATTAGAAGAGAAAAAGAAAATTGTCTTACACATCTAATTATGTGAAATCAACGTTCAATTTGTAGAAAAATCCATTCTCATAAATTTCTTCAAACTAGTTTAAATCTAGACATTCAATATCAGATGATCTTATTAAGTTTCTCTGTATATACTCAATTTCATACTAAATTGTATCTGTATCCAAACCTAGAAGCAACAAGGCAAGATTTGAATCTTATGTCTTCTAGACCATAGGCAGCGGATGATCTTATTAAATTACTCCGTATATACCAAATTTCATACTAAATCGTTCCCGTACCCAAACATAGAAGCAACAAGGCAAGATTTGAACCCTATGTCTTCTAGATTATAGGCAAGCCACTTTGATAGTGAATACGAGTAGCCGAGTAGGAATAAGCCCAATAAGTTGTCAATTGTCATGAACCCACTTTTTGTGAATCATCAATTTTCTTATCCAAAGCATATTCTTACCCCCTTTTTTTTTTTTTTTTTTCTTTTCTTTTCTTTTTTCTTTATTACCCAAAACAAATGAAAAAACCGCACTAGAACCAACAAAGAAACTCTCAAAATTAAACAATAATATCTATCCTTTTAACTACAATCCAAATGCCTTAAAAATACTCATGAAAGATAACATTGGAATACACTTTGCTTAAGTTAGCTAATTTTATCATTAAGTTTAACAAATTTAGTTAATTGCTCCACCCACCATGTTATGATCATTTAAGCAAGAAATTGGATACAATTCCACTATTATAACCTCAATTATATTACTCCGTAGTGCTGTAAGCCTATAATGATGACGAAACTGATTTCCATTTATAACTACTTAACCTAAAACCACCCAGCGTATAACTCCATAGACTTTATTATATGTCCGGTTGTACCTAGCTCGTTGGCTCCACTCTAGTGTAATAAAAATTGCGGCTTTGTAGGAAGTGATTGCAACAAGGTTGTACTTTAATAATGTAATAAAATGCAAAAATTCAAAGAAGAGTTCTTTATCCATATTTTGTTTATTAAAATAATGTACATTGAGAATTGATACAGCAACAAAATTAAAAAAAAAAAAAAAAAAACTTCTATTCCTTTTTCTCTTTTGTACAACAAAAAGAACTAGTATAAAAATTAAACTAACATTTGAAGTATCTCAATTCTCAAAAGGGTAAAACTTGTTGACCCAATAATAAATCCCAAATCATCTCACCTCAAATTATCTTTGTTCTTGTTAATTCTCTTGCAAAACTTTAGCCAAATTGGATGCAACCCTATGAATCTTCTCATTATCATCTTGAATTAACCCAAAACAAATCTCCAAAACTCCTTGATTTTTTACTTGTCTCTTCACTCTATCACTACTACAACAAATCAAATTCAATGTCATCAATCCATATTGAATTCCCCTTAAACTCCCATTTTTCACATAATGTACCAAAATCTCTACAACCCCATCACATTTCACTATCTCCTCCCTCCCTTCTTTACACTTAGCGAGCAATCCCAGCACTTCGATTGCTCGCTCGAGTCCCGATTTTGCCATTCTGATCAAAATCGGGACTGCCCCGCAGTCAACCGTCCTACGACGGTTCTCGGGGAAGGAAGAGAGAGTAAAGAGAGCGGTCGCAGCTTCTTTCCTCTCTCTTCCTCTCCCCGTGTGGAGGAGGTGAACAAGGCACCTTACCGCACCGGGGTGAGCCCCGATGGTCGCCTTGTTCACCTCCACCACAGCGAGGCTGGTGAGCACCGTTGCTGCCACCGCAGCAGCGGTGCTCCCCAAAGCACTAACCACCCTCGCCACCGCCCCCTCCGCCACCAACCCCACCTTATTATCATCCGACTCCAAACTCAAATTCAACAACAGCAACAACGCCTTCTCCTGCAAACCCGGGTCATTATCCGAGTCAACACACCGCAACACAGCAGACACTGCGCCCGACTCAGTGAGCCGCGCTCGGAACCCCGGGTTAGCCTTCGACAACCCCGTCAACCTCACCAACGACTCAACCTTCTCCTCAACCATCGAACCCCTCGAGTTAAGCTTCGAGATTAGACACCCGAGTTGACTCGGTGAGTCAGACCCAGACCCATCCGAGTCAGACCGAGTTGGGGTGAGTTGGGTGGGCGTGTAGTTGGAAATGAGGCTGCGAAGGGCGTGGTTAGGGATGAGGGAAGGTGGGTCAGGGAGGGGTAGTTTGGTAATTGGACAAGTACGGTGGCCTGAGTCAATCCATCTTTGAATGGAGCTCCGATCAAAGGTATGACCCGAAGAGAGGATAACCGGGTCGGACATTATATCAAGAGAAATGGGGCATTTGAAATATTCTGGAAGTTCATTTGCCATTTTCTCTTTGGTAATGAGAAGAGATGAAGAAGAAGAAGATGATGATGAAGTGAAGGGGTTTTTTGGGGTTTTGGTTTTGGATTCTGACATTTGTTTTTTTTTTTTTTTGGGAGGAGAGAGAAATTGATAAAAGAGAGAGAAAATGAAAGAAAGAAAGAAGATTACAGTCCACTACATTTTTATACAGTGGAAAATAAATTTAATTGTATGAAATGGAAAG